TTTCGGTCCGCTTTTCGGGATCAGCCCTCAGCCTCATGCACCCAATGAGACAAGCGGAACGTGGACGGGACAGCACCTTATTGGCTGGGGGCTGCCCAGCTTAGGCGGGCGGTAGCTGTCCAATGAAGTGCGAAGACTTCTCCCACCGTCGAGAGGAAGCCCCAGGTACCCCGCTCCTACGTCCATCTAGCGGGGTTTTTTGACCGGTAAACTACCTCTCACCGTGTTTATTTGCTGGCGTGGCCTCTCCAGGGGCGAGTGTGGATAGAAGAAAGAAGCCAGGGGGTGCCCAAGCAGCTGGCTTGTGAGACTGGTCTTCTATATATTTGTATGTATATGTATTCCCCATCTTCCGCTTGAATTTGCCTCGACATTCCAATTTTCATTTCGCTATTTTATCCAAATGGGCAACCAAAAGACAGCAACCAAAACTGGCGCACGAAAGTGCATGGTTAATGGTTGTAAAACTGAAAACTGAAACTGATTTATCTTCTTTCAGTTGCTAGTTTAATCAATTTCCAACTCGCATTTCACCTGGTTGGGCAATAGAAACGAACCGGTGGTATATGTAAACCATTGAGTGCCACTACTTTAGCGTTCATACCAACCGACATCCCCCAGCCTTCGCCAAACTATACGACCTAGATTTTGATTCCTAGTGGACCCCCCGCATATATATATATATATATGTATATATATATATATGTATATATATATACAAGGAATCACACATGCATGTATGCGACTATTTTACAACAAACCGTGTGTCTTGATATGTGCATTTAGGAAATAGACTCCGTTTTTCATGTGCAATTATGTTTTACATGATTGGGAACGCCAGTGAATGCAAATGCTCAAGTTTGCGTGCGTTGGCGGCAAGCTTTTGTTCAAGCGTTTGCATTGTCTGCTTATTTATCGTGATAATAATGATTATTGTTGCTATTGCATTTAGAGAATTGGCCCGCTTATCATCAGACCATTTGAATTGAGGAAATATCCTATCAAACAGATTTGGAGAGGCAAAGAACAAGATGCGAATGAAGTAGAATTAAATACAATAGACACCAAATTGTTAAATGACTGGTCAACAAAGTGCCTATAACTTTACCTGAATGCGCGCATCTCGGTTATAAGTGGCCAGTCCAAGCCCCCAGATTAGTGAAAATACCCAAGTGTCGGTAAAGGGAATGGCGTCTATCCCAATAGTTTCGCTCGGAGCTTGCAGTTACTTTGATCCTATTGAGCATAGGAATATGCCAACTTTCAGCATCATGTAGAAGCCAGCGTTTGTTGCTGATCAGATGAGTTCACAAATCACCGATTTTAAATAATACATGACATCTTGAACATCGTGATTTTTTTTACCACGTGGGAATGGTGCCGGAGTTTCTTTATCTGTCAGGGGTAAAAGGGCACTTTCTCTTCTTACAGGGTGTATCGCGATAATTTTATTTCAAGATTACTATCCCCTTATACCGATAGTTGAAGCTGAGTTCGAGCACTCTTTCACCCAAATTCACCACATAAAGTGGTGCTCATCCGGGTTACCTTGTCTCTTTTTTCTCTATTTAACTTCACTGTGAAATTGATTCCGGGAAACAATCCTGTCTTCATGCGCAGTTAAAGGTATCGATTTACTCCCGGTTGCCAAACTGTTTGATCTGAGGTTTAAAGATGATATTGTATTGGTATTTGAAACTTGAAGTAATTTGTAATCCTTTCTGAATGGTTCGAGTGTTGGTATAGTCATGTTCGGCATGCGTTCTGCACCTTTCAAGTGTAAAATTTTGCTACAGGACTGGGTTGGTTCAGCTCCCAGCCTCACTCTAACTGGGTAGACAAACGAGGAAGAAAAAAAAATTTTGCTACCTGAGCAGTATGTCCCTTCCGGCGGACGCATCACGGATGAACTGTCTACTCGCATACAGAAGGCTGATTAGCGTTTGCAAACTGAAGACATGTCTGTTGTCGTCGCGACATCCGGTTGCCTGAGAAGGGTCGGGGATATGCTGCAGCGGCTCGGCCGGTGCTTCTATGCGGGGCA